TTCTATGTTATTGTTAATAAATTTCTTTTTTAGAAAAATTAGAAAAATCAAACGGTAAGCAAAGTGCGACTATAATACATTTCTGTTTTATTATATTAGCTAAAACATTTCTTTATTATTATTAGTATTATTATTTTTTTTTTGCCTCCACAGAAGCACCAACAGGATCAATATCAAGTAATGTGTTTTGCATACTTATGTATTTTTTGGGTGTTCTGTGTATAAAACTGAAACATTCTTATACAGATTTATAGGTGTTATGCGTATTAAAACATAAGCATTAAATTTTTTTATTTTTTATGCAGTTTTATGAATGTTTGGTTTGTGCTAATTTAAAATTTAATTTTTTTTTTGCCTCTCCAACAGCACCCCTGGCAAATATTTCAGGTAGTGTGTTTTGCAAACTTATGTATTGAAACATAAACATTCAATTTTTTAATATTTGTATGAAGTTTCATGACTCTGTAGTTTATGTTAATTTTTTTAACTTTTAATTTTTTTTTTTTTTTTTTGCCTCCACAGAAGCACCAACGGGATCTGCATCAAGTAATGTATTTTGCATACTTATGTATTTTTTGGGTGTTGTATTATTCAAGCTGAAACATTACATTTTTAATATTTGTATGCAGTTTCATACCTGTTAAATATATGTTAATTTGAACATTACAATTTTTTTTTTTTTTTTGCCTTTACAGAAGCACCATTGGCAGTTGTGTCAGGTAGTGGGTTTAGCATACTTATACAGTTTTATAGGTTTTATGCATATTAATTTTTTATGCATTTAAATTAGCATTAAATTTTTTTCTTTTGTATGCAATTTTATGAATGTTTGGTTTGTGTTAATTTAAACTTTAATTTTTTTTTCGCTTCTCCAACAGCACCCCTTGCAGTTATTTCAGGTAGTGTGTTTTACATACTTATGTAGTTTTGTGGGTGTTATGTGTATTAAAACAAAAACATTAAATTTTTTTTATGTTTGAAGTTTCATGACTGTAGTATATGTTAATTTTTTTTTTTTTTTTACCTCCACAGAAGCACCATTGGCATCAGGGTCAGGTAACATGTTTTCACACTTATGCATTTATATGGGTGTTATGTGTATTTAAATATAAACATTAAATTTGTGAAGTTTGTATATAAATACATGATTTAATTGTTTATATATATATATTTTTTTCTTAACAGCAACACATTCTTCAGTTGCAACAGGTAAAGTGAATTTTAGTCGTTTTTAAAATTAATATGTTAGTCGTTTTATGCAGAATTTATATATATATATATATATATATATATATATATATATATATATGCATATATGGTATGTAATCAAATTTATTGCTTTTTTTTTAGCATCTTGGGAGAGTTTCCTTTTATATCGCTCCCAGCACCCAGGCCCATTATCACAGAGGGCCTTCTTCCGGTGGTGCCAATATGGGGGAGATGATCCCTCCTTTAGATGGAGGAGACAGACCCCATATGGGGCCACCGGTAGGAGGAGTGGTGCTGGGAGGCAGAATGACCAAAGGTCAAACATTATGAATTTTTATCAGTAGTTTTTTTTTTTTTTTTTGTGTTAATTTATTTATTTGTTGTAAATATATCTTTACGTTTCAAAAAAGTTGTTTTTTAGTTTCGATTTTTGCAAGTATTTTTATTTATTTTTGATATTTTAATTTTTTAATTTTATATTTATTGATTTTTATTTCTGATTTGAGAGTCTAAACTTTCAAAACAACTCTTATGTGGTTAAATGTTAAATAATTTGTCTATTAATTTTTATTTATTTCATATAGTTTTTGATTTCTTGATAGTAAATATTTTGTAATTTAGTTACAATTTTTTCTTATTCTATTTGTTTGTTTTATATGCCTAATTGTTGCATTATACACATATTAATGTTTATATTATTCTCTTTAGATTTTTATTATAAAAAAGTAATCATTAAAGATAGCCACATGTGAACTATATGATGTTACATGTTAGACAAGTTTTATTTGCAATTTGCAATTTGGCATGTCGTTTTTTTATTTGTAAATAATTTTACTATTTAATTTAGTTATTATTAGCATTAAAAAATTGTTAAAATTGTTATAATTTTATTTTAATTTATTTCTAAAATATTTTGTTTTATTACTTTAAATGTAATACTTAGTGGTTCAACTTATGTTTAACTTTTAGGTTTTTCTCTGTTTTAAACCAGTTAAGTTAAGACTTTAGGTCAATAATTTTTATTAGAAAATATATAAATAGTCTTATAGAGTTTATATTGATAATTAGAAATGCACATATTATGTTTTTCCATTTTAGATTAGTATAACAAAAAATTAATCAAATCAACTTTTATCAAACATAGTTTCTTAGTTATGTCAAATAACTTGAGAGCTGAAATAAGAAGAAATCGTCGGAATGAGAGAAATGAGGCTAGGCGAGAAGAACTTAATCGTCGCCAAAGTGAAAGAAATGAGGCAAGGCGAGAAGAAATTAATCTTCGCCAAAATGAAAAAAATCAGGCTAGGCGAGAAGAAATTAATCGTCGCCAAAATGAAAGAAATCAGGCTAGGAGAGTATTACATAGACGTGGAATGCATTGCATAGCAAGAAATAATGTTTTTATAGTGAGTAATTACCTTGGAGAAATGAACCATATTTGTCAATATTGTGGTGCCAAAAAATTTTTAAATGAAACACATTTTCTGTGCTGCCATTCTGGAAAAGTTGCGTTAGCTCCACTTTCGCCTTATCCACTGCTCATGCACAATTTAATGACAGGCAACCATGTTGATCGTGCTATGAATCAAAATTTCTTCAAGCATATTCGAAGTTATAATGCCTGTTTATCTTTTGCTTCATTCACAGCAAGAATAGCTCCTCCGTCTGATCATGGGCCACCCTGTTTTAGGATTTGCGGACAAATTGTGCATCGTGTTGGTAATCTGAGACCTGATCAAAATGTTCTGCCTGCATATTGTCAGTTATATGTTTATGATCCTAATACTGCTTTAAATTTTCGAATGGAGCAAAATGATTGTTGCATACGTGAGTTGATGGAATTTTTGCAGACTATAATTAGTCAAGAGAACCCATTTGCTCTTGCATTTAAAAACATGGCTGAAATTGAAGATGAAGAAGTACGTCAAGCAGCTTTAGAAGGTCGACCAACTTCGATTGTTAAAATGTCATTGCTTGAAGGTGGTGATAGACGTCGATACAATCTTCCTTCACATGAGGAAGTTGCCATTGTTTTTGTTGGGGATGATGGTGCTCCACCTCCATCTAGGGAAGTAGTTATATACCCTCGAGGTCAGGCCTTAAAAACAATTTCAAGTATGTCTGCAAATCTAGATCCAATGATATATCCAATATTTTTTCCAAGAGGTGATGCTGGATGGCATGAGCAACTAGAGCATCATCCTGACCGAGCTACACGTGTTAGAAATCGGGTTACTTTGTCTCAGTACTACAATTACAGGCTTTCTGTTAGAGAAACCTTTAATCCTATATTTTATGGTAAGAAGCTTTTTCAACAGTATGCTGTTGATGCATATGTCAAGATTGAAGGTCAGCGCCTTGCTTTTATTAGAAATAACCAAAACAGACTTAGAAGTGAACAATATGATACATTATATGAACATGTAAATAACGCTGCAAATAACCTTAATGTAAGACCAGGTCGTGTTGTTATACTACCATCCTCATATGTTGGAAGTCCAAGAGCTTTAAAAGAAAATTTTGAAGATGCAATGGCAATTATAAAGAGATATGGCAAACCAGATCTTTTTATTACTTTTACCTGCAATCCAAAATGGAAAGAAATTACAGAAAATTTAAATCCAGGTGAGAGCCCATCTGACAGACCTGATTTAGTTTGTCGTGTATTTAAGATGAAACTTAAATGCTTCCTAGATGATATTTTTAAACACGGAGTCTTAGGTAAAGTTATAAGTCATGTACAGGTTATTGAGTTTCAAAAACGTGGTTTGCCACATGTACATATTTTATTGCACTTTGTAAATGATGATAAGCTAGAAACAGCAGAGGATATTGATAGTCTAATATCAGCTGAAATTCCAGATCAAACTGTTGATCCTGAACTTTTTGAAATTATAAAAACATGTATGATTCACGGACCATGTGGAATTTTGAATCCCAATTCTTCTTGCATGAAAGATGGGATTAGCACAAAAAAGTTTCCTAAAGAATTTAATCCTCATACTGTTGCAACTTTCAATGGCTATCCTCACTACAGGCGTTTAGATAATGGTAGAGTAGTCGTTATAAAAGGTAACCAAGTTGATAATCGATGGGTTGTACCCTACAACCCTTGGTTATCTAAAAAATACCAAGCACATATTAATGTTGAAGCTTGCATGTCTATTAAGTCAGTTAAGTATTTATATAAATATGTCTATAAGGGGCATGATTGTGCTCATGTGTTAATTAATGAAAGTCTTGACCATGATGAAATTAACACATATTTAGATTGTTGCTTTGTTTCTGCACCAGAGGCTCTTTGGCGAATATTTGAGTATTCCATAAGTGATATGTCACATACTATTATCCGCCTTCAAGTCCACCTTCCTGATAATCAGAGGGTATATTTTAACGAAGGAGAAGAACGAGTAGCTATAGATCGTGCTGCACAGCGTGACACTCACCTAACCGCTTGGTTTAAATTAAATGCTGAGATAAATGAAGCACGTCAGTATTCTTATGTTGAAATTCCATATCACTTTGTTTTTGATGGTAAAAATTGCAAGTGGAAAGTAAGACAAAGAGGCAGTGATAAGGTGATTGTGCGAATGTATAAAGTCAATCTAACCAGTGAAGTATTTTTTCTTAGATTGTTGCTTTTGCATGTAAAAGGTGCAATGTCTTTTGAGGATTTGCGTACTATTCATGGCACTGTTTTTAATACATTTCGTGAAGCATGTTATCGATTAGGTCTATTGCAAGATGACATTGAATGGAGAAATACATAAACTGAAGCTGCAGCAACTCGAATGCCTAAACAAATTAGGCAACTGTTTTTCATTATATTGACTTTATGTGAACCTGATGATCCTTTACACCTTTGGAATACATTTAAAGATTATATGATTGAGGATTACATACACCATTCAATGTCAGTTGTACTTGCTGAACAGACTGCTCTTCGTCAAATTGAATCTATAATTAATCAGAGTGGTAAAACTTTAACTGATTATAATTTGCCTACATTAGATCAGTTATTAGATAATGTCCTAGAAAATGATGATGGAGATATTCAGGTATTTATTGATGAAGCAAATCGAGTTAGACCATTATTAAACGATAATCAGCGTAATGTAGCTGATGCAATCCTTGCTGCACTTAGTGAAGAACCTAATAATGAAAATAAGCATTCAAGATTTTTCTTTATGGATGGGCCTGCCGGTTGTGGTAAAACATTTACTTACAATTATTTAATTGCTGAAACACGCAGCAGGCATATTAGAACTGCAACAGCTGCATGGACAAGAATAGCTGCAACTCTTCTTAAGAATGGATGCACATTGCACGGCTTATTCAAACTTCCTGTTCCAATTTTGGAAACTAGCACATGTAATGTAACTCCAAACTCCATTCATGGTAGATTACTGAGACAAGTTATTTTATATTTACTCGATAAAGCATCTATGATACCCAAACATGCTTTGAGTGCCATTGATAAGTTATTACAAGATATTTGTAATAATAAGTTTCCTTTTGGTGGTAAAGTTATTCTTATGGGTGGAGATTTTCGACAAATACTTCCAGTTGTGAAGAGAGGTCGACCAGCAGATGTTGTAGAATCATGTATAAAGTGTTCTGAACATTGGCTATATGTGCAAAGGTTTTCATTAACTGAAAATATGAGGGTTCAGATAGGAGAAGAGGAATTTTCTCAATGGCTTTTAAAGCTTGGAAGTGGAACATTACCTGTCAAGCCTGAAGATCCTTTGCAAGGGTGTATTGAAATACCTGAGCAGTGTTTTCTCAATGATAATGAATCTATTGTGGAAAAGATTTTTGGTGGTGCAGAAGAAGCTGATTATGCAAAACGTGCTATTTTAACACCAACAAATGTTGATTCATTGGCAATAAATGAAGAAGTCCTTCATCGATTACCGAGTGATGTTAAAACTTATTTAAGTTCAGATAGCATTGAAACTGATGATCATAATGAAATTTATAATTTTCCAGTTGAGTTTTTAAATACTTTGACTCCATCAGGTATGCCTGTTCATTGCCTAAAGTTGAAAATTGGTGCTGTTATAATGCTACTTAGAAATTTAGATCTCAAAGGTGGACTTTGTAATGGAACACGTTTGATGGTGCGTGCACTACACAACAATTACATTGATGGTGAGGTTCTAACAGGTGTATCAGCTGGTAACAGGGTATTTGTTCCTCGAGTTCAATTAGCTCCATCAGATTCAAATTTACCTTTTACACTTAAACGTCGTCAATTTCCAGTTAGGTTAGCATACTCAATGACCATAAATAAAAGTCAAGGTCAAACATTTGATAAAGTTGGTGTTTATCTCAAAAAGCCTTGCTTTTCACACGGCCAATTATATGTTGCATGTTCAAGAACAAAATCTTTTAATAGTTTGTTTTTTAAAGTTGATAAACATGCATTACAAGGTATGTCATTTAACAAATATTACACAAATAATGTTGTGTTTACAAATGTTCTTAATTTATAATTTTGACAAGTTTGTTTATGTTTTTTTTCTTTGCTATATATGTTTATATATGTGAATATATGTTTTTACTTATATATAGATGTTTGTGTTTGTATATGTTTGTTTATATGTGTTTAAGTTTATATTATGTTGTTTCCATGTTTGAAAAGTGGTGTTACTTGGCAACGTGTAGTGCAAGATTGTGATCCTTGCCAGCCAAGTGGTGTTACTAATTAGTGGTGTTACTTGGCACTTAATGCCAAGCGGTGTTACTAAATTGTGGTGTTACTTGGCAGCGTTTAGTGCCAAGCGGTGTTACAAGTGTTGAACTAGGTTGTGTTGTCTAGCTTTTTTAATTATTTTGGAAACACATATCTGAATACATTGTGTAATGTGTACTTACAAATGTCATATGTTGTGTATTATTCAGTAGCGTAGGCAGGATTTTTTGATGCTTCAGGTTTTACTTTTATTTTCAGACTCTTTCATTACTTTCAGACTCTTTCATTACTTTCAGACTCTTTTATTACTTTTATTACTTTCAGACTCTTTAACTACTTTCAAACTCTTTCATTACTTTCAGACTCTTTTATTACTTTCATTACTTTCAGACTATTTCATTACTTTCAGACTATTTACTTTCAAACTCTTTCATTACTTTCAGACTCTTTCAACTAAACTTAATTGTGTTCATGTTTGTCAAATTCAAATAATTTGTAAAATATGGATGTGGTTGGGGCTTGAAAACAAATATGTTTTAAAAAGGTTTGCTTTCCTCCCTTGAATTTAGCTGCCAATTAGTTAAAAAAGTATTTTTTTTAAGCATATAATAATAATCTTATTCATTAACAGGTTTTAAATTTCTTATAAAACAACAAAAGTCCTGTCTACAACACTGGTGTTTTTGTTTGTCATTGTGTAATGTTTCTGTTGTGATGTTTTGTGTTGATAGACAGCTTGGCTTACCTTCACGCTGGTGTCTATCGTTAAAAATGATTATTAGCTAGCTTCATTACTGAAACTACTCCTTCTAATCATTCACTAAAAGCCAAGAAATATTTTTTTGAATAAATGCCTAATTTTTTTATCTCACTGTGACTTTTTATCTTTAGCATTGTTGATAAAATAGCTTTTTAAATAAAGAGTGTTTCCAGCCTTCCAATCAAATACTAGAGACTTCCACAAAAGCGATCTCACAAAGTAAGTTTCTTATTTAGTGTTTGATAATTGACTAAGTTTCGTCACCTTTTATATATTTTTTTACATCTTATTATGTAATTTTTCAACATTTAGACAACTTTTAAATAATTTTAAACAACTTTTATATGTGTATTCAGTGTTTTATATAACAATATTTTTCTTCATTTTATAGGTAGATTTCCTGTTATAACTGGTTTAAAAATTGTTAATCGTTATTCATTTTTTAAAAGCGTTTACTTTTTCTAAAGACGTATTACTAATACCATTAGTAATACGTCTATTCATACATTATCAAAGATACTTTATCAAATGTATATTCATACCATTTACTAAAAGCTATCTTCTCTATATATTATTGCCGAACTTAATAGTGTTAGTAGCGCTCTTTCGAGCGTGTTTGACAAACCCATGGCAACTATTGCAACCAAAGTAATGGCGAGGAAGAGTCTCAGCACTTTTTGATAAATAAACGTAAACAAAAGTGTATGCAAATATCTAACTTACGTAAACTTCAAAATATGAAATGTTAAAACATACAAAAACATGTCAAGTTTTACAGTTTTACTTTCACTTAAAAACAGCATTGCGGCAACGTCTCTTTAATTTTGATCGATTTACAAAGTCTTTTATTTATTATATATTTTTGAAATTTTCGTCAAAATGCCGTGGTTAGCCTTACGTAAACTTTTATTTATTATAATTTTAAATTTGTTATTTGTCATGTTATTTTAAGTCGTATTAGCGCAAAGAAATTGGGTATATAACATGTAAATATTTAGAACTATAAAGTTGTTTTGTTTTGCATTTTAAAGAACAATAATTTTATTAAAAAAAGCAAGCTGATGATTTGAACTTGCCACGCGGCGACCTTGAATTTTTTAAAACAGTGAGGGGGTTTTAAAAAAAAACATTCTTATTTAAAAAAACTTTAAAAATCTTAAATTTATTTTTAAAATAAATTATTTTATTGAACTTATTATTTTTCAAAATAATAAAACGTTAAAACTATTTAATTTAAAATAATAAAAATATTTAGAATTTTACAGTTACTTATTTACGCCCCCGTTAAATATTCTAAACCGAGTGCGCAACTATGACAGAATTTAGAAAACCAATAAAATTGTAAGATACTCTGTTTAATATTGGAAGAGTCTACTCGGATGCTATAAACTAATGGACTCTATTATGTTTCTTTTTGTAATGTTTTTCTAACGGTTAACAAATAAAAGCAAAGCGGAGATACATCAACTGAGCGTTTAGGTTTGGGCAGGCATTCTTTTAAATTAAAGAAAAGAGTTTTGATACTTATTTAAATAGGGTTAATAAAATATTTTAAATTATATATATTATATTTAAAAAATTATAAAACTAAATTACATATGATTTTTAGATGAAACAGTAAAAATAATTGTTTAAAATACGTGCGTGCAAATAATTCCTACCAATACTAAACGTAAAAAAACGCTTACAAACACCAAAAGTATATTTACCGTGAATAAAATTAAGTTCAAAGAAAAATTGGAAGAAATGTTTAAAACTGTTTCAATAATAACATTTATTTTTAATTATTTTTGTTGTAAGTTGGGATGAAAAAAAAGGTCACTGGAATATGAACTCCCGGGGTGAGATGACTATATCTGTCTAAGTGTTGCGCGGCTACCAATTAGCCCATAAACGTATTCTCTATTTAGAATTTGAGATAATTTATGACGCATAAGAAGTGTAATTAAAAATTCAAAACCAAGTTTGGAACAACTGAATTTAAAAAAAATCTAATTAGATGTGTATATGTTATGAACGTTAACTAAGGCGTACTTTAACGGCATCACGTGCTGAATGTTTTAGCATTTTTCAAAGTTCGTAGTCTTTTTTACGTTTTTTCTTATTAAAATCTTTATAATCGGCATAATATTAAAAGCGTTTAAAGTTTTTTAAAGAACATTATAACGTTATATAATGAAATTTTTTTGTCATATCAAAAAGTAAGTATAGTTTTTTATATGTACATAGTTTTTAAAACGGTTTTAAAAAAATATTGAGGTAAGGAATAAGTATAGAAAAAGTCGGTGTGGAATAGATTTACTAAGACCCTTATTTAACGTCCTGATACAATAGAAATGATCAGATAAGTATAAAAATGGTCGGTTCGGTAAAGACCCGTATTTTACGGGTCCGCCCAGCTAGTCTATAATAGTATAAACGCAAAAGTAAAAATATACGGTTTGCTATCAGAAAAAATAGATATTTTAAAAGGAGTAAGGCAAGGCTGTCCTTTGTCAATGATATTGTACATCATACAAGCAGAAATATTTTCATGCTATGTAAGACAAAACAAAAATATTAAAAGTATATATATGAAAGAGAGCGAAACAAAAATACAGCAATACGCTGATGACACGAACTTCTTTCTAATCGAAGATGAGTCCATTAGAGAAGTAGGAAAAACCCTAAAACTCAACCAAAAAGCCACAGGCGCTAAAATAAACATCGCCAAGTGTCAAAGCATATGGATAGGCAAAAACATTTTTAAAGACAAAAGCGAGTATTTGAATTTCAATTGGGACGATAACATTTTTAAGAGTTTAGGAATGTTTTTCTCGAATAACGCAAACTTCCAGTACGAAACACACTGGAAGGAGCGTTTCAACAAAATGGAAAACGCAATGCAAAAATGGGAAAAATACAAATTGTCCCTAAAAGGCAGAAAAACAATAATAAACTTTTTAATATTCCTCGAGCACTGCATTTGGCTTTTATAGCACCCCTACCTAGCAATGCAATTCTAAACAAAATAGAAGCAAATATTAATAACTTTTATTGGGGAGCTAAAATATGTAGACTAAACACAAAAAAAAATACAACAAAAGATAAATAAGGGCGGCGCAGGAGTTAACAGCTTAACCAACAAACTTAAAGCCATACAACTGCAGTGGATCAGCAAAATATACAACGAAAGTATATACGTTCCGTGGAAAGATGCTATGGTTTACATACAAAATCTACATAGAAATGCAAACCAAAGCAAACACACATTTGAGGCTACCCCTACTCAAATGAAACTATTTTACTCTCAGTTAATTGGCATAGTTTAAAAGAAAAACATGTTTTACCTATAACAAAAATTGAAGAAATTTGAACCAACCTCTTTTAACTCGATGATATTTTAATAATTTTTTAACTCGATGATAAAAGCGATGCCAAATAAATTTTTAACTCCGAGCGAAACTCACAATAAAAACGATATTATACTTGTAGCAGATATTACTAAAACGTTTCAGCCAAGTTTTTTGCATCACAAAAGCGTTGCCTTGACTGAAACGGAATTAGAATATCTTACGAAAGCTCTGCCAAGAAAATGATATAAAAAAATTCCAACGGAATGTCAAAATTATGATTTTAAAAAGTCTTCATTTTTTATAGCCAAAAGGAAAACAAAATACGAATATAAAAATCTAACTGATTTAACTCTTTACAAATTATTAAATAAACCAACGAAAAGTCTAGAATATAAATTTGATAAATGGAAATATTGTTTTGAAAGCATGAAAAATATAAATGAAAAAGATTGGAAATGTTTCTTTATAAATCTTCATAAAAGAAATACTAACAACAAAGCGTGCGAAATTGTCTTTAAAACAGCACACATTTTATTGCCCACCAACGATAAAATGTTTGATTTTAAAACTAGAAAAGACAAACTTTGTCCACAGTGCAAATTAAAAAATGAAAATACTGCCCACATGATGTATAAATGTGAAAAAGTACAGTCACAAATATTTTATGTTCTAGATATTTTAGATCAGCTCTATCCTACTTAATACTCTCATAATAACAAA